GTCTAAAACTACTTTGTTCGGTTTACGCGCCAAAATCTACTTGGCTAGGTTTAGGCATTAAAAACTACTTCTCAGGCTTAACGCTTCTACAACTACTTAGTTGGGTTTATGCACCCAGAACTACTTGATTAGGTCATTGGACTGAAAACTACTTGTTTTGGTTTACCCACTAAAAATCTGTCTGGCTTTGTGTTATTTAACCCTGGAGAAACCCTGGAGAACCCATGGGGTAAAATTAGACCCCATGGGTTCTCCGGGGTTAAACTACTTTGTTGTTTTTACACACCAAAATCTACCTAGCTAGGTTTAGACACCAAAAACTACTTGGCCGACTTTACACTACTTTGTTGAGTTTATGCACCAAGAACTGCTTGATTAGGTTTTGATACCAAAATCTACTTGGCTAGGTTTAGGGATCAAGGACTACTTGTCATGCTTAGAGCTTCTAAAAGTACTTTGTTGGGTTTATGCACCAAGAACTACATAATTAGGTTATTGGAACAAAAGCTGTTGGTTTGATTTGCACACTAAAATTTATTTGGTTTATGCACCAAGAACTACATAATTAGGTTATTGGAACAAAAGCTGTTGGTTTGATTTGCACACTAAAATTTATTTGGTTTATGCACCAAACCTATTAACCTCTTAAGCCCCAAGCCTACCTGATCTCCTGCCTTTTGCCCCCGTATCAGGGGGCGTTGGGGCTTAAGAGGTTAAGATAATTGGGTTGGGTTTAGGTGAAAAACAATAACATACATACATAACATAACGATAACACTGCGGATTTAAATGACATCAATGGGTCCATATGAGATGATTTGCGGGACCAGGGCTGTCTTCGCACAGATGCCAAAGGACACTTTGCACCTATCTCTGAGACACCAGCAGCTTTGACAGCGAGACAGTATTTGACGCCCCTGGGTTGGTTTAACTGTCCTTGCAAGTATTTACCACCCACAATCCTTAATGTGACTGTGGCCTGTCTTTCTCAAGTTCAGTTCAGTTCAGTTCAGTTCATTTTTATTTCAAACATTTCAAACATGTGCCTTCACAATCATTACAAAACATCATTCCATTATTTGTTTGAAAAGGAGTAGGCAGAAGTATTTACTTATTTGTCCCTACCCCCTCAAGTTTTACCTCTCATTCATTTAAATTTTTTTTGCTCACACCTTCCCTCATGTTGTTGCAGCGACATGCAATAATAAACAACCTCGGACACACATAAACTCACAGCTATTTTTACTACCTTCCCTAACCCATTTCACCAAACAGTCCCACCCTATAGAGCACAGAGCAATTTCTAATTGAAGGCTACTTCCATTTTCACAGGTCAGAAGATAAAAGCCTTTGAGGCTATGTGATCCTTTTACTTGCTTTATTAAAGGAGCCACAGCTTCTGCTACACCGCGCTGGATTTCCTTATAGTTAATCCAAGCCCAGCAACTTATACGACTTAGTTTTCACTGACTTTCAAATTTTGAACAAATGAGAAATTAACAGAACCTATCCTTCGCAAATTGCTTCTCCATCTTCTGAGGTGAATCTTGCTTAAGGCAAGCCTAAAGGTTGGAAGTTAAAAGCTATTTCTCTTCACTAATGATGGCACTAATGCATTTGCCATTTACATACCCCTTTCACTTGTGTCTAGTGTTACGCTACCACTCAATTCTTTTCTTAATAACAAACTTTTCTTTTGTTACCCTCATTCTTCTCCTCTTTCTTTCCAATCTGTATTCCATTTTCCCCTTCTTGCCGATGGCAGAATCAACACAACCGCATAGCATAAAATAACACCTGCTTCCACCTGATACCTGAAGTTGAAAACTCTATTAGTTGTGGAAGCCATTAGCGGCTAATGGAAGACTTGTGTACCACGGTGCTCTGGTAGAGGAAGGTGCCGCAGCATTTGCCATATCGATTGTGATGGACTTAAAGAAGGGGGAGCTTGAAATTTACAAAGAGGCTGTGGGCTTCGACATAATGAGATATACGGCCATGTGGTGAATAGTAATGCGGCAGTTTGAAATGATTAGGTCGAGAGGGGAAGACAGACAAGGAGAAACAACAAATAAAGGAAGTGTAAGGGGTGGGGGAAGCTGTAGATAGGAGGTGAGAAAGAAGAAGAAGGCAGGAGGGGAGAGAAAAAAAGAACAAACAAAAGAAGATGAGAAACTGGCAGTGACACAAATTACAGAGTGAGACAGCACTAAACAAGGGAAAGGACTACTTTAATTAGGAGGATAGGTTTTATAGGAAGACAAGTGACACGGGGTCATCAGATGAGACAGGGGAATAACGCCGCTGTAAGAGCAGAAGGAGAACCTGGAGACTCAGCAAAAGACTCCCAGAGGAAAGTAAAAAGGTCTAATTTTCTGGGTTTAAGAGGACCTCGTGGCCTCTGTTTTTATTGGTATACTGGTTTGGTTAAATTCTAATGACTCCGTCTCTCTTTAGAATTTGCTCTAATTGTCTTTTATGGGTGTTTTAATAGAACTGTTGTCGTCCTCGGGCTGTTTAGGTTCACCACATGTTCTTAACCCTACTTGCTTGCTGTTGTTTTGCCCTTTTGTTAATAATAGTAATACGGTTCTCTGTGCCGTAGCTGGTAACGCAGCTGCTTTTATGTATTTTGGGGATTTCTTGCTGCCACCTGCTCTTTCAGCCTTTTGAACATTTTGTCTTGTATCTTAATAATAATAATAAAATTCTGTATTTTAAAAGTGTGATCTTTTTCATTTGTTTTTGTACTTTACTAAGCCAAGATATAATAGCAGCCAAGTCCTATTTTAATATC